TCTCTTTGCTGCTATTAAGTATCGCTTTTCGAAGTACCGAAAAATGAAATAACCGATTGCATGGATCGAAAAATGAGGTAAGATTCCGAGGTAGTAGAGAAAATGCCATCGAGATGACTTGTTTAGATGAGATGAATGCATCGTCAACACATTTAAGAGAAAATTTGGTATTAATAAAACAGTGAACATGATTGCTAATATCCAAACGCCCATATTTACAACGTAGTCAACCGAACTTTGCGCATCTAAACCAATCAAATTATCTAAAATAAAACAAAAAACATATTGAATGCAAAAGTTGATTATAATGTTTCTCGTACCGTCGTTTACAACCAATTCCACTCGATCATGAATAACGTTCATTCCATGGGACAGTGACTGATTTCGATTTTTACACTTTGCCATGATGAGACTAATTGACATGTTGGTGGAACAAAACGTTATTAGCACCCATGTAGCAATGGTGTACATGTAGTTCAGTCTCATATCAAAATCATATCCACCATAACAACTTTGATCTAAGCCATGCAAATTGAAAAGAACCAAATGATGAATGTCGATAAACGTGAGTAGAACAATAATTGAAACGGCAATAATAAATGATCTTCGCGGTGTACTTGTACAATGAAAAGTAATACGCAGCGTTCGGTCGAAACACAGGACAGTCAGTAATAGTGTATTTATTTCATCGGACAAATAGAAAAAATAGGCAAGTGATTTACAGAGTAAAACATGTTTGTCCATAATGTGAGTATTAAACGATACAAAAAATGACGTTGAAACAATTAAAAACACAAATACTGTATCAAACACTGCTTTGAAAATAATAAACCATGTAGCTGAACATTGTGCGTAGACTGGCGATTTAAACATTCGGATAAGTTGAACATTGGCGATAATGCAGAAAATCATAAATAGCGGACAGCCGAAGCGGATGAACCAATCACTTGCCAACGTGGGACTATCGCTTATCGAACTAATTGTTGATAACACCAAATAATCGAAAGATTTTTCAGCATAAAAAGTTACGTTCTGCATTATGTTTAAAAGAAGTATTACAACAGAGATCGAATTGTTTTACTTGGTACCCGTTATCAGTGAATGTTCGCTATTAGTTTTCAATTTTCTTTCTTTTCTATCCTTGCAATTGATACATTGAATCAAAACAAAAAAATGATATACATTTTGACGTATATAAAGAATGAAATGTGTTTAGAATATGTTATCAGTGCTCAGAATGTGTTATCAGATGTAAAAAGAACTTAATAAAATGGTAATTCATTTAAAAACATCGCTTGACTGCATAACTCAAAAACAAAATACAATAATTTCTGTCAAAGTTTTAACTTTTAGGTGCTAATAAACTTATTTGTTTTATTTTTGAAATAAGTGATTAATATAATATATTGTACATACAAATTTTATGGACAAAGATTTTTTAGAGAACGAAATTAGGGCTGAAAAGAGAACGGTTGTCTATTTATGATCAAATTTGGACTGATTAGAGAACGGTCAGAATTATGGAACGAAAAAACCGAAAAGAGAACGGAATTAGTGCTGAAAAGAGAACGGTTCAGAATTATGAGTCCAAAAGACTGAAAAGAGAACGGTCATATACGTTCGAATAGTGAATTATTATCTATATATATCTTGCATTACCTGCAAAAAAATATTATACAAAAAAATGCAAATAGATATGATATTTCAAAAAAGTAGAGCAAGACTAGATTTTTTTGGTCTATCACGCTTTTTTGGTCCTAAAGGCATACGATCTTTTGAGAATACATGATAGCCAAAAGCAATTGCAAGTCCAACTGTATGTTTACAAACGTATTCTTTACAAAAGAACCTGCACGAACAAAAGTTTTGTTGAACCGAAACTATATGAGCAGATTCATATCATATCTTAAAATGATTGAATAATGAAAATGCATTGCTACCAAAACAATTAATCCACTCTTGGATACTCATTATTGGATGTGATGTAGGAACAACCGTTTCAAAAATATTCCATGGAATTGGATTTGCGTATTTGATAACATCTTGAGACCATCTTAGTCCTAATATTTCTAGTTCTTTACTTATAACAACATTTTGCGAAAACCCAGCCACAGTCAGTTTTTCAGACCAGTCTACCAGCATTCTTTTCATTGTCGATAAAAAACCGGACAATGGCAATCTACGTCGTAATGTATAATGCATTTTTACTTTGCCGTTCATACTTTCAAGCCCGTTATTTGTTAACGGGTATCTTAAAGCAGCCCCTTCAAACCAGTATTTTAGTTTATCGATCCATTCTTTTTTGAAATATTCTTTAAACGCATGTAATTGTTTATCACTCTCCCTACAATACCCAGAAATCACAACCGTTCTCTTTTCAGTCGTCTACAAAAAATTCGAAAACCGTTCTCTTTTCAGTCGTCTACAAAAAATTCGAAAACCGTTCTCTTTTCAGTCCCGTTCTCTAAACGGTGTAAAAATTTAATAATTAGTACTCCGTTCTCTTTTCATACTTTTTCCAAACTTTATTGATGAATTTTGTTATGTTTATTTAGTATTTATAAAAATGCGTAATTTTCAATTTTCTTTTATGAACGAACGCTTTGAACGAAGAAAAGTTTTTGACGTATATATGAACAATTTTTTAACACATAAATACGTAAAAATAATATAGAGAGTGTATGGAGCGTAATAATTTAATGACTGCATTAAGTTAAAATTGGAGATATATCGAAGATTTAATAATATAAAACATTTGTCTTTTCTAACACACTATTAGTTAAGTAGTGCACAGAAAACCTGATAATTAGAACAATTTGATACTCTTGAATGCGTACAATTATTTTGTACAATTTTTGCAAGCTTTCACCGATTTTTGACGAAATAAGATCTTTGAAAAAATAGTACAATTCATTACTGAACAACGATTTAACAAAATGCTATGAAGATAATTATATATATATATACAAGGCTTCCATTTAAAAAATTAAGTAGTTTTTATTAAATGCTAAGTAAAAAGATATTTTTTTCTAAGTAATTTATTAAAAATAATTATATTTTTTGTAGAAATGTGGTTAAGTGGCTCACTCTCATGCTCTCCATGCACCTTCCCCACGACCGCTCCTAGGCACACATAAATATAGATTATAAAGTAGGAAATACCAAAAATTAACTTAGCATTTAATAAAAACTAGTTGGCAAAAAATAATTGCCTATATAAAATGGGTTAACAGTAAATTTTGTCTATAGATAAAATGTAAATAAAATAATGAAAAAAAGAAGTATAATGAGAACTCAATCCATATCAAGAATTCTTATTATCCAATAGCACTTGTCGAAACGGCCAAAGCTGCCAGATGAGACAACCAATTACGCCCCCTCTCTCCCGGGTCAGAAAACAGTTTTTGATTTGCAGATAACACCTATAGCCAGGAGTTGACAGAGCCTGATTTTTAAATTATGTTTTTCTTTTTTTATAGAAATGCGGATTTCTAAGAAACCTTCCAAGATTTTTTCGGACTTTAAAATTCCATTAAGTACCAGAAATCAGTAAATGAGAAAGTCAAAAATCAGGTCCTGTCAGCTCCAAGCCATAGGTGTTTACTGTTAAACAAAAAAAGCTCCAGTTCTGTATCATTTACCTGGAACGAGAGTTCTTGCTTCTGGTAGAAATTGTCTAATATACACGTTCACTCACTCACTGCATGTTCATTCAAGATAAACACTCATGACTAACATCAAAGCTGGATCAAAATATGTAAAACATATATATAATAAGTTTACAAAAACACGAAACTGTTTATGAAGTTTACAAAAGTCTTGGTAAATATTTATTTTTAGAATACGACAATTTCTTGTTAAAAACTAAAAGTTGTGTAAAAACAAAAGATGAGATCGGATTTCATTGAGATTTTCATGCTGATATGATTGTTTATATTGAACGGATATGCAGATCCGAACTCGAAGTTTTCACGTACTTCAGTTATGTTGCGAATGTTTACCGATAAACATTCAGAAAGAATGAACAGTTTTGAGTGTTCGCAATACATTCGAATTGTGACCACGGTAGACGGTATTACGTCGTCAGCAAGAATCGTTGATAGAGGAGTGCCCCAAAGCTCGGTCTTGGGACCGTTACTGTTTTTTGATTTTTATTGATGATCTTGGTGATAATGTTGGTGCAACTATGAGATTGTTTGCTGACGATGCCTCACTCTACCGCATTACAGAGAAAAACGATATTAGAAAAGTTATAGACCAAGTAAATAAAGATTTACTCTTAATTTACGAATGGTCTATAACTTGGAAATTGTATTTAAATATTGATAAATGTAAAGCTATGCTTTTTTCTACTCGTGAACGCGATACTCTCGCTTCTCTACCGCCCGTCTTGATCAATAAGTCGCCTATCTCTTATGTTGTTGAACAAAAACAGTTAGGCTTAATTTTAAGGTCAAATCTAGACTGGACAGTGCATGTAGATTATGTCTTAACTAAAGTAAGTCGTTTAACTGATCTTCTAAAGCTTCATACACGTGCGTTATCTAGACAGGCATTAGATCTAGTGTACAAGTCATTTGTTTTAAACTTGTTCACTTACGCGTCAGTGATATATGGAAATACATCTGATAGAAATCTTGATCGACTTGAGTCAGCACAATACAAAGCTGCAAGAGCGGTGTCAGGCGCTATAATACACAGTTCTAAGGCGCGAGTGTTTAGAGATTTAGGATCGGAGCCGTTGCGAGTTGTTTTTAAGCGACACAGGTTAGTTTTATTTCAAAAAATAGTTACGGGAAAAACACCTTTCTTAAAAACTCTGTTGCCATCACGCCCAGATCCTCCTACTGTTTTTTCATACCCACTATGAAGTCGCGAGAAGATGCTACTTCCAACTCCGCATTGTCGTTTGAATATGTTGTACGACTCAATGATATATCGAACAGCGAGAGAATACAATGAATTACCTTAATTATCAAAAAATCAAACGAGATCAGAAAATGGCACCCATCTACATATCAGTTATCGAAAAACATACATATGCCGAGAATTACGATACAGCTACAAAATCATACGAATCAGCCCGTCGTCTTCTGAGCAGTCAGCAAATCATCCCGGATAAGAATATGGCTTTAATCTACAGCACAGTTATTGAAAGACATATATCTCATGATAATTCTGATCAAGCTATAGAAGTTTATGAATCAGCACGTGGTCTTCTCACGAATCACAAAGTGGAACTAGATGAGAAAATGGCTTCCATCGACATGTCAGCTATTGAAAGTCACAGATTTTTTGGGAATTTTAATCAAGCCATAGAACCATATAAACCAGCATGTCGCCTTCTGCCACCAGACAATATTATTAGACTTCATCAGAAAATGGCCTCCATGTACATGTCAGTTATTGAAAGGCATACATCTAATGAGAATTTTGATCAAGCTATAAAAGCATATAAATTAGTACGTCGTTTAGTATTAGTACTTCCAAATTAGTACTTCCATGGGCATGGGAGTTATTGAAAGGCATACATTTTATGGGAATTTTGATGAAGCTATTAAGGCTTATGAAACAGCACGTTGTGTTCTATTGAGTCATGACAGCAAACTCGATAAAACGCTGGCCTGCATGTGCATGGTAGTTTTGGAGGGACATACATCTGACGAGACTTTGAATCAAGCTATAAGGGCATATGAACCAGCACGTCGTGTTCTGTCGAGTCACGATATCAAGCTTGATAAAAAACTGGCCTCAATATGCATGGCAATTATTGGAAGACATACATCTGACTGGACTTTTAATGAAGCTATTAAAGCTTATGACTCAGCACATCGAGTTCTACCGGGTCACTAACCCCCCCCCCCCCCCCCCCCCCCCCCCCCCCCCCCCCCGCCCCCGCGGAGCGGGCGCGACCGCCGGGGGACGGGGGGGGGGGGGGGGGGGGTGGGGGG